ACATTTTTTCATTCATGCAATTCATGAATCATTGATAAAAAAATGTCCCAAATATTATGCGAATTAAAATCTTGGGGGAGATAAGTATAATTATGTCAAACGTATGGGATTAATTGTATTTTTTTTCAAAATTTAGGGGAAGTGAGTGTAATTTACCCTAAAAACAATTTACAGGATACATAAAATTTATTTTTAAAGACTGTGTTTTCTTTTTTTATTTTATTTTATTTTTTTATTAAATAAAATGAAATGACAGGTATTTTTGTTCTTGAAAAAGAAAAAAGAAAAAAGAAAAAAAAGAGAGTACCGCAACAAATAACCGTCATCTAAATTTTTTGGCGCTTGGTATAATAGAAAACAAAAGTAAAAAAAAAAAAAAACATTTGTCATGGTAAACTGAAAATAAATTTATTTGAGTAGAAAATATTTTTCCCTTTTAAAAGTTGGGATACATTTTTTAGACTAAAGTCTTACTAATATCACCACACTACCACCACCACCACCACCACTGTCACTGTCGCTAACATTGCCGCTGTCACCTCACCATCACGGCACAACCTCAACCTCCACTTTCATCTCACCACACCACCAAATATGAAAAAATATTTTATTCAAAAGACATTTAAAAAAAAATATATTTTTAATAAAAATTATTTTTCATCCAAATAAACAGATCATTAGAACCTCTTGAATAGAATCTAGAGACTTACGGATTGTTTGAGATAACCTAAATAAGTGTACTTTCTGTCTTTTTACGAAAAGATGTGCAGAAAAGTAGAGAGATAATGTGATCAAAAAAAAATAAAAAGATAAAAAGATGAATTATTTTAGAGTTGCCAAACTTAGCCTTAACATTCGAGCTGACGCTCACGTGTGAAATGTACCAGTATTTTGTCCACCTGGAATTAAAATTTGACATTAACACTCTTACTTCAGCTCTATATACCTAATTCTCCACCCAGTTTTGGACCACCAAAATTCTCAAGTGTTTTCTTTTCCATCTCTCTTCTACTCTGTCACTTTGTTATTTTGTCCATTCCCTTGACAATTGGAAATGAAAACAATTCTTTTCTCTTGTATTTAATTTTTCTCTTGTTTTCTTTTCTAGTTTGCCAAACAAACTATTATTATAGATTTGTCTTCACATTAAAAAAACTAGCAAGCATTTAACCCACTCCACCAAAAAAATAAAAAATAAAAATAAAACTATATTCCTGACAGCTAGGCAGAATGGCAATGGGAAGCTTATGCTAAACTTTTCTCACTCACAACAGAATCTCAAATTAGAAAAATTCAATTTCTTAATCATCACCATCATCATCGCCATTTCTTTGCTTAGTATCCGTATTCATTTATAATTTATTGATTCTATTAAACTTTATGGGAAGAAAGGTAAAGAAAATGGGAAGTTGGAATTTCTATTTTAAAATTGTTGAAGTTGAAATTGAAACTTGCTTCCAAGTCTGCTGCCATCTCATTACCCCTTTTCAGTCTGCCCTAGCATTTCCATTGTTTTTGTTTTCTTCTGAGTATAAGATTAATGTAGGGCCTAAACAGTAGTACATCAATAATTTGGTTCACATGCATTCATATTCACAACAAAATATTTAAATCTATCTACATAATATAAAACAAATGTAAACTGGCAAGGAAAAGAGAGACTAACATATTCTATTGAAGATAAGGAGTACAAATTTTGTGCTTTCCTAAGGACACCGAAAATGTGTCACAAAAAAAGACACAGAACACTCACAAACGGGATGAGACTAAAAAAAAAAAAAAATTATAATATATATATATATATATAATAACAAGTACTTAGAAGGGATGTAATACAAAAATAACACTAAATTGAACGCTCACGGGATGCGCCACAAAAAGACGCAATTCTTGTGAGCGTTCTCTGCCTTTTTTTTGACACATCTTTTGTGTCCGTAGGATTTTTGATAATTTTTTTATTTTTTATTTTTTACACATCGATATCAGTGGCGTCATTTATTTGAATAGATTTGTGTTTACTTAAAAAATCCTTCTATGTTTTTCTTGAAATTGGGTATTTTTCTTGTCAAATGCAAAGGTCATAGCATGTGTTTTTTCACATGTGATGTTGTTTGGATGACTAGAAAACTAAGTTGGTATGAGTAAAAAGGCACATGAAAATATCACTGATTGACTGCAGCTCACCCAAAACAATTGGTTGGTTATGTTGAGACATTTACATCTCAATGGTTAAATCTCGTTACCTTAAAGTTGTGAATTCGTATCTGATGGTAGCAACTTTACACAAACTGCCAAAAATTTGGATCTTACCCAATCTATCCCTCCTAGGCTCCCATCCAATATGACTAAGCTAGGCCTAGTTTTTTTCTTCTTCATTTTTATTTTTTATTTTTTTTTCATGAGACAGAAAACAATGTAAACTATGTGAAAGAGATTTGACATTGATTCTAAAAGGAACCAAACTTTAAACTGCTGTGTTCAATAGCAAGATGCTTCTCAATCTAAACAAGACTCCCTTTTCCCTCATTTTTCTGTCAAGTCACATTTCTTTATCTTTTACTAGAGGGAAAAGGGCCTTTTTTTTTTCTCCTGAAAAGTACCCTGAAATGAAGTATATAGCATAGATTAAAATTTGATGTAATGTGAGTCACGTTCAGAATAAATCTGGTTCATATATTTTATTTCCAAGGTAATTTTGGATACTTTTTCTTCTCCTTAGATATCAGTATCCAGATATGTCCCTCAGAGGGACCCTCTTTCCTATGTTCTTCCCAGAAGTGGCTAAAGTTGAGCCGCAGAGGGGAAATGTATGACATGGTTTTCACACTTGATAAAAGGCCTGAAATTTCGTGGCCTACCAATTCACCAAGCAATTCGATGCCCCAATCAATCCATTAGAACTCGATTGGAACTCTTGCTTCGTCGGTGCGTCTTAAATATGTGTTCGAATTTTGAATTTAGAGAGTTTGTGTAGATAAAAAATAAAAACAAATAAAAAAAACTGTGAAACAAATTTAACCTATATTTCATTTCATTTTTTTTTTTGCAAATAAAAAAAACTGTGAAACAAATTTAACCTATATTTCATTTCGTTTTTTTTTTTTTGTTTTCTTTTTTCCCCCACAAATCTCATTCTTAATCTAAGGTCTGAACACAACCTTAAGATAATGTTAGCAAGTCATGAAAGCTGTGGGACAGAATTTCTTGACCTTTAGCAGACTGAAATCCATTTGCTTTCATGTTGATTAACAGTCTAAATCTCACTTTACTTCTTGTGGGGTTTTCCTCTTTCTTATTTTTATTTTTTATTATTTATTTATTTTTTTAATTATTTTTTTTTTCTGTCAGGTGGAAAGTATGATCTTTACAAGAGAACCCATAAAATAAAATTCTTTGAAGAAGATGTAAAAAGTGAGACAACCATATTTATTGTCTTAAAAAAACAGTTAGTTTTCAAAGGCTGGGGAAGGGAAAAGTGAAAACTATCTTTACCTATGAGATAGTGACAGACACCCATTTAAGTTAAAGGATTCTTTGAATCTTGCATTTGAGAAAAGCACTTGAGTCTTTTTCATATATTTAATTATTATACTTTGAAATTGGATAAGGGATTGGCCGTCGTTGAGACGGTGCTTTATTGAGCGTCATGTCTAAGTTCAAATTTTACGTGAATTTCACCACAAAAAAAAAAACAAAAACCAAGCAAACAAACAAATTTATACATAGTGCTATTGGAATTTCACCAAAATACTAGTTTTAACTCCTATATTTTACCTTGAAAAATCTAGAAATCCCCTAGATGTTGATTTGTGATTATGTATCAATTTTAAGCAGAATATAACAATCCCAATCAAACAATCAAACAATCAAGACAAAGAGACACAACGATGTAACGTGGAAAAAACCACAATTGGACACCTCCAACTGTGATCAAAAAACCACGGGCAACAGCCACAAGACAATCCACTAAGAAGAATAAAAGGAATTACACAGGTATACTCTCAATTACCTAGCGAATCCACGCCTAATTGAACCAACCTTTAAGTGCCTCTTCCAACCCCATCTTCACCACGGAATTGTCTTTCTGATGAGCCACTCCGGATTCCACCAAAGCTTCAGGCTCGAACTCTTCAGAATCCACAACTGAAGCATAACTCTCTCTTTTGTGTATAGCAAACAAACCTTTGATGTACTCTCTTTAGATCATGAGTTGAAAATTCAATAAAAACATCAAAGAAAACTCCCAAAGTATCCCCAGATATAAACCCTAGAAACCAGAAAGAAGATCTGGAGAAGTTATCCTCAAAATCTGACCCAATACGCGAATTTATAGAATCTGTCCCGCGATCTCCGCTCGAGCTCAACACATGTATTGCAGTTCTTAAACAAAACAAAGTCAAAATATATATATATATATATATAAGGGGAGCTGATGCAGGTGTATAGGGAGCCATTTACCCCTTACGATAGGTAAGGAGGAGATTTAAGGAAGCTGGTGGGGATGCTCTAACAGCTAACATCTATATTTAAAATCAAATTGTAATGTTATCATTCTTTTCGTTTGTTACTAATGAGACTTGTGAAAATTGGCAAGTGAGCCACATATGATATTTTTATCGCTTCATTAACGTCCTTGTTCAACAAAATTTCATTTTGATCTCTTATACTTTTATCAAAATCTCAGTTGGTACCCTTTAATTTAAATTTTGTTCTAAAAAGAATCTCAATTACGACAAACATGTCAATTTTCATCAGTATTACTAAAACTATAAGAAATTAACTGCCACAATTGAAAATAGAGGCCTAAAGTAGAATTTTGGTAAAATAAAAGTCGTAGGTATAATTTAAACAAAAATTGAAGCAATTGGTACTATTTGGCATGTTAAAAGTGAGGAAAGACTTTCGGAAAACCAAAACAGATTTGGATATACTATGGACGGTCACCATGTCCTAGGATTTTTCAAGCCAAAAAGGTGAGAAGCCAAAGGTGGTCATAATGCTAGTAAAACCCATAAGTATTTATTTTTTTCTTCAAATTTCATATAAAATTACAAGCTGGGGAAGCATTAAAAAATATGAAAACAAATTGGAAAACAATACTTTTATTCTGTAAATCTACCATGTTCCATAGACAAAAGATGAAGAGCATAAAACCATGTTTCTATCACAAATAGAAAAGAGAAACTCTGTACGACAAGAACCTATTTACAAAACAAAGAAAATTCTATATCACACACCTGCAATTTTTTTCTTTCTTTTCCAATGCCTATGAACTGAAATCCTCCAAATGGAAATACTTAGGAAAATTGCCCGTAAGCTGCAGCGATTCGCTGGAAATTCTTATTATATAAATCTGCAGATTGTGAAGATTGTTGTTGCCAATTAGTACTAGACCCTTGTGCGTTGAAGTGTGATTCTGTTTTGGTCTCAGTACTGTATATATCTTGATGAGCAGTTTGGTTTTGAATTGTGGTCCCAAATAAATATGGGGTTTGGAGATATTCAGACCATTTGATCTCTTCCGGGTCGCCTTCTATTGCATGAATTTCGCCTTCTTTCTCTGATTTTATACAGTTTTCCGGTCCCCACGAGAAGGTACCGTTGTTGTCGAAGAAGGAAGAACTGTTGGTGCTTCCATTGCTGCTACTACTGCCATTGTTGCTGAATGAAGCAGTGTTCCAATTGTGGACCCCATTGATGTCGAAAGAGCCCATTGATGGGGTACTTGAGGGAAGACTAATGGAAGGCTTGATGGTTGGGCTTGACATGGAAGAAAAAAGAGTGGTTGTGTTTGGATTGAGAAAGAGATTATTGGGTGTGTTTGTGTTGACAGAAAGTCTGGCATCAGACCCGTAATTCAGCTGCTGAAAGGGAAAATATGCTGGAAAATCGGATGTTTTGCAAGCAGCTGTGGAGCTCTCATGGGAGGAAACAAACCTGTCTAGGAAAAATTCATGGGTTGTTGATGGGGGTGTTGTCATGTTGTTGTTGCAGTTGTTTTCAAAGTAGTTTTCTGTTGCCACTGAAGCCCTTTTTGACTTGTGAATTGCCATTCCCTTGTCCGAATTCTCAGCCTCGACATTTGTCAGTTCATTGGATTTAGATCCCCCAGAGGCTTTCTCTTCACTCTCAGCATTGGAAAGTGGTTTGTGAGTGTTTGGGTCAATGCCTTTCTGCTTGAGCTTCTTCTTGATTGAGGAATTCCACAGGTTCTTGATTTCGTTGTCGGTCCTCCCGGGCAATTGGGCTGCAATCTGCGACCATCTGTTGAAAACATAAACAAAAACATGTTTTACAAAACAAAATTCACAAAAAGCAAGATTTAAACAAAAAATATATATATACCTGTTGCCTAGAACTGCATGAAGTTCAATTATGAGGTTCTCTTCTTGCTGTGAAAATGTCCCTCTTTTCAAATCAGGCCTCAAGTAGTTTATCCACCTCAATCTACAACTCTTCCCACACCTTTGCAAACCTGTCATATAAACATAGTTTTGAATACCCTTTTGTTTGCATTTGATGAAGAAAAAAGAAGAAGAAAAGATTAGTGAGTGAAGTGAAGAAAGAAGAGAGGACCTGCAAGTTTAGGGACAGAGCTCCAACAACCATGGCCATACTTGGTGATGTGGTTTATAAGCTTCTCATCTTCCTCTGGAGACCAAAGGCCTTTCCTTAGTTTCTGCTTGAAACAACAAGAGTGCCTCCCCATGTGGTTTGCAATATTCCTCTGCCTTGCAATGCTGGCAAAAGCTACACAAAGATAGCAAAGTTTGTATAGAATACTATGTGATTGTCAGCAAAGAAGAGGAGAGAGGTCTTCCATTGGATATTAGAAGAGAGAGAGAGAGAGAGAGAGAGAGGTGATAAGGAGGTTCTGAAAATGAAATGGCAGACTGGTAGGGAATCAAATTAATAGGAGGAACCTCAAAGAGAGAGAGAGGTCACATTTTGAGATTGTCACTTTTTTTAAAAGGAAAATGACACTCAATACATAATTTTCGTAAAAAAATAAGATAAAAATGACATGGCAATGACACTCTTATTATTACTAACCATACTGATTAGCATTTTATATTTCAATAAATAAATATAAATGATACGTATCATTTTGTATTTTATAAAAATAACGCCCAATTAGTACATATCATTCTGTATTTTATATTTTTAAAAATTAATTTTATTTTATTTTTCATTTAAAATGTGAAGACGGAGCTTCAATAATCTAAGTTCCACGTGTCTCATCAAAGGTTGAGAATTAATGAGTTTGACAGCACTGGTGGGGCATATCGACAGATATTTTAATTTGGTGGGGATTGAAGAAATTGTGAAGACTTTAAAATCTATACAATATTTTTTTTTTTTTGGTGGATGATACAAGTCATCTTACATTTATGGATTTTGGAGTTTGTATTGGCTGTTAAGTAAAATACTTATTTGGAGCAAGTTCATGCCATGATTCCCAATACAGATTTGGAAAAAAGGTTAAATGTTCCTGCAGATGAGAAGTTTCCATGATTAGTTGTTAAGCCTCTAAAATCAGCCACAATGGAGGATGTATTTTGTGTAACAGGTACACCAGAGCGGTGGTGTACTTGCCCTATCATATATGGAAGTCCCACTGTATACCCACCCATTTTACATACATATGGGACTTATTAGAGCATCCCTATCAAACTAACTAAACTCATCTTTTAGCTAAATTAGTGGTACTGTTCATCAAAAATGGTCTGCATCAGTATCGTTACTGTTCATCGTTAATATACGAGTGTTACAGTACCTCGCTACAACAATCGAGGTACTGTTCATCGCTACTTGTGTGTTATCGGACCCGTCGGTCAATCAGTCAATGGAAAATTTAATATTTATTTAATTTTTAAATTTTTTTTGCATTTCCTCCAGCTTTATTTTTTGTAAAACATAAGAATTATTTAGTTCATAGCTTAACAATTTAAATATAAAAAAAGGAATAATAAATATTTTAATAGGATTGAATTAAAATAGAGAGTTTAATGCAGTGAAGTGACTAGTTAAAATAAAAAAATGACTTTTTAAATTATAATGTTAATCTAGTTCACAGTACTATGTTTATTCTATCTCACAGTAACATGTTACTCTGACAATATTGTTTTAGAAAAAAAAAAATTATTTTGTCCTTACTCAATTATATGTTTTCTCCTTAAAGGATTTATAAAGCAAAATAAATTAAGTTGTAATTTTTACCAAACTAAAATCCAATGGAGGAATTTTAATAGGATTGAATTAAAATAGAGAGTTTAATGCAGTGAAGTGACTAGTTAAAATAAAAAAATGACTTTTTAAATTATAATGTTAATCTAGTTCACAGTACTATGTTTATTCTATCTCACAGTAACATATTACTCTGACAATATTGTTTAAGAAAAAAAAAAAAATTTATTTTGTCCTTACTCAATTATATGTTTTCTCCTTAAAGGGTTTATAAAACAAAATAAATTGAGTTGTCATTTTTACCAAACTAAAATGCAATGGAGGAATTTTGATTAAATTTCCCTTTAAAATTGACAATAAAATTCTAAATCTTTCATTTATAACGAAAGCATTATATGAAAGTCATACTAATAATATACTTTTATAAGCGTAAGAAATTTAGAAATCTCATTAAATTTTTGAATAAAATTCTCGATAAATAATAAATTAGACATGTAAAAATGAGAAACAAGAAAATAAGATTATATAGGTAACTTTTTCATGTGGTCCAAAACATGATGCTAGTTAGGTCTCAATGGTACAAACAAATCTTTGGAAAAGTGCATACTGTAATTATCTCAATTTCTAGCCGTTAGATTTAATCAAACACTATTATATGTCATAACTAAACTTTGTACAAATTAAAGTGTTTTTTTATTTTTATTTTTTATTTTAAAACTGTTGCAATCCACCTCTAGGTTCGCCAACTCACCCTCTCATCTATAGAAGCCCCTTTGACATATAGATAGGACTCAAAAATGATGAGGGCAGGTACAATATAATGTGCCCGTTACATAAAATACTTTCTCGGAAGTAAGAGGTGAATAAATTAATGCCAACACAAACTTTGAACAGTTATGCATTCTCCTGTTACATTTGAATGGCAGTATATAGAATTCTAAAACCCTCATTGACTCTCTCATCCTATTTCTTGAGGGACTTCTGTTCAAGATAACTTTCAAGTCTCAACTAACATTGGCATTTTCTCTTCTTCTGGCAGATTGAGTAATCTTCCAAAACTAATGATCTCTTTGATTAGATTTATAATTGGATACAAAGACAATGTATGTTGAAAGCCTTGGAAATTAGGGGTAGCTTCCTCTTCTCTCTCTCTCTCTCAAAAACTCTCAAATTCTACCAACTCCCCAAATCATTCACCTTTCTTCTAAGAAAGAATCAAATAAGATAAAGAAAGGAAAAATATTCCACTATTCATGATTGATTTAGAAATTGTTAATTATTTTTTTCCTTTATTTTATTATGTGTTGCCAAGAAAACTAGGCTATTCATTTACATGCAGAAGACAACAACAATAATGTAGTAGTCCTCTTTTAAATTGAGTATGTGTTACTGAAACTTGAATAAGGACAAGTTTGGATAAAATTAATTGAAGATACTTTGTGTGCACAAAACAAGAGGATATTAATCATGCAATCCATTGAATTGATAATCTCTAACGCGAACATGATTTGTTTATTTATTTATTTTGAGGGAATGAGAACATGAATTCATTAAACATATGTATATATATATTTTCATTTTCAATTTTTTTAATTAGTAGAAAAATTGGGGAAGACGTGAATTAGTGGTGTTTAATATAAGGCAACACAATAGGATAGTGAATCAACATTAACAATTACAATGAAGATTAATTACAATATAAATCACAAACTCCGAAATGAGAGAAAAATGAAATCAAACAAATATAAGGAAAAATAAAATCTACAAATAAGTGAAAATAAAACTAGTCCCTATACATAGTTCCATAATTGACTTGAATTACCAGAAGTACAAGCATGTCAATGGCTTAGCTTACATTAACAAAAACTTCTCTTCTCTTCGCCTCTTCTCTTCTCTCATTCACCCAAAAAACAAAACCTTCTCTCTACTACACCTTCTGGATAGAAGTTCTTTAATAAAGTACAAAGGTCTCAATCAATTAAGACCTTTAATCTAATGTTTGTGTTAGGTTGATGGTTCAAATCATATGAAAATGCATTACCTTTTGTATTGCACCATTTCTCTACTAACAAATTTACCTCTACCAACATATTTCGTGTGACCAAAAAACCAAAAAAAAAGTACAAAGGGAAAAAGTAAAAAGATCTCAATGTATAGAGTGAGTTTAGAGAGATATTTCAAGAGTAATATTTGAAGTGTACTTAGAAGTTGAGAAAATTTTTGAGACTAAAAATAAGACTCTTAAATTTACTTACAATGATATAAATTATTTTGTCACATCATTAAAAATGAATTTAAGAATCTTATTTTGAGGGACTTTAGCATTTCACTTAGACGCTTCCTCAAAATTTTCCTTGAGGCGAGGGAGTTGTCTACTTTACTATGAGCTATAGGCCACATAGGTGTGGTATGATTAATTTATCCTTGAATATCCAACATTTAGATTAGCTTTTATGACTTGGGATAACTTACAACACCCTTTATTTTGCATATACATAATTATTTTTTATTATGCGAAAAAAAGGAAGCTTCTAAATACACTCCCTAAATTTCTTGCTACATCCATTGCATACATATTTTAGGAAGAAAGACTTGAATAAGTGAGTGTAGAGTACATAAGGATTTCTAATGTGAAGTGGCAAGCGAGGTAGGGAAGGGAGGTTTCTAGTGGCCTTTGGCCTCCTCTCCCCTCCTCCTACCCTTCTTTTCTCTTTCCTTTCCTTGCTTTGCTGTCCAATAACTTGGAAGTTTTGGCTTTCCATCATCTCCCTCCTTTGTGAGGTATTTCTTCTCCCCTTCGGCCATGGCCTTTACCAAATCCGTCGTCTCTTCTCTTCTCTGCCTCCATGGCATCGCCTCCACATCTACTTGCTGTTCAGCCATCATTGCCCTTGCTCACCGCTCTTTCTCGGCCAGATTCACCGCCTTCCTTTCCCAGATCTACCCCCTTCACCATCGCTAGATCCGCCACCATTGTTTCTAGAAGTTTGTTGTTTGTGGGTTTGAGTTTTTGCTTTTTGGTTTTCCTTTGTGTTTTGCTCTAATGTTGTTTGGTGTTTTGGAGTCCATTGGTGGTGTGATTGTTAAGTTTACCCTCTCTGTGGTTGAGATCTATGATTCATCTCAGACATGTTCTATTGTCGAACTCTTATGATCGGCTCTATTTCGCAATACGAGTACAAGCACAAGATGGCATTTAAATATTTTCATAGTTTCTCTCCTTTGTACTTCTTGCTATATTTTTACTTTATTTGGTGTAAGTTTTGGGTTTGATGAATTCTTGTAAGTGCCGATTGGCTTTCTTTAATGGATTTTTCGATGGATCAAAAAAAGAGTACATAGATATTTAGGTGGTATATATGTTCAGAGGTTTTTGAATATGGGACGAGACTTTCATTGAAAAATGATAAAAATATCACTCTTGCAATAAATTATAATGGATGAAAAATAGTTTTAATTCTTAAAGTATGCATTACTTTTTATTTTAGTCTTTTAAATTTTAATTTTGTTATTTTAATCCTCATAATTGTTAATTTAAGTTAATTTAGTTTTACGTCTAATGTCCGTTTACATTGATAATAAAAAAATGAATAAAAGATAGTTTTGGCCCGTAAAGTATTGGTTTCTTGTCATTTTAGTCCCTCAAGTTTTAAATTTTGTCATTTTGGTCTTTAAAGTTGTCAATTTGAGCCAATTTGA